GAAGTTAGATAATTTGTTCAAAGTCACCAGTGAGCAAGGGACACAGACAGGAGCTGAACGTAAGTTTGCCTGATAACCAATAACGAATGTCTACCACTTGCCTGCCTCCGCGACTACTACAGACCTGCACATCACGGTAGGACAGCAGCAGGTTCATGACAATGTCAGGGCTCAGCAGCTCCACACTGTCCAGTCTCCGCTGCAGGCGAGCCAGCTCCTGCCGAAGTTGCTGCCCACTGAACCGCTCCCGAGCCTGTCGGATAGCCTGCCGAATGGTCTCCCGAAAATAGCCACTGGATGCCCAGGCCAGGAGAGGGAAGCAAAGAGAATGGTGGGCCTGTCCCTCAGCCCAGCCTCCTCCTGGTGCACCCACCCAGAGAGCCCCCATTACCAGGAGTCCGTGGAGGTGGCCTCCAGCAGGCAGGCAAGCCGGCCCACCAGCGGAGTGAGCAGGGCCTCGGTGCCCACCCCGGCCTGTACCAGCCCATCAGCCAGGCCCTTCAGGAGGCCGACATCACCACACAGCACCCGTCCAGTGGCCGTCACCACATAGGGGATCAGTGTGTAGCTACCAGCACAGTCCTGGAGGGAGGGAGGTGGGAATTAACGGAGGTCAGAGGTCAGCATAGGGTTAGAGAGGAGCAAGGAAGGGGTCTGAGGTTAGTATCAGTGAGGGTTAGAATGGAGGAAAGAACCGCACTTCATTAAGGAAGCCATAGGGCACAGAGGGTCAAATGGATGCCACAGGGCCTTCAGGAGATCAGAGGTAACTGAGGAGGGCAGGAAGATTAGTGGAGGTCAGAGGTTACAGCAAAGGTCAACGAGCACATTGGAATCAAGGGTAGGTTCTGCTCACCGAGTTCTTCTGGAAAATATCCTCCTGCAGGAGGCAGACAGTCAGACACTAGCATTCTGGGTAGGCCTTACCCCAACCCTGCATCTGTCCCTACAAGCCACCTGCTACTTACACGTAGGGCCTGCAGGTCAGGGAGGTCAGCCTGGGAGCAGAGGAGCACGTTGTTGGTCATGCTGAAGCTCTCACGCACAGCAAGATGATAGAACAGGGAGGGTTGTGCCAGGGAGCCGCTCACCTCCAGCACCACCACATCTGTGGGCACAGAGGTGCAGGCCTTGAGCCCCAAAGGCCTGCTTGTTGGGGAAGGAGCCTAGGGGTGGAAGGAGTCCACCTGCCTCGCTGTGGGACTCCAGCCAGGCCCAAATCTGTTCCAGGCCTGTTCACCTTGGAAAGCCCCCAGCACTTCCACAACACTAACAGCTGTGGTGCTGCAGAGAAGGAGCTGGGCTTCCTAGGCTGGGACCTCCGTGCCAGCTGCAGCCTTGTGCCAGGAGAGGTGGGCTGAGGGTGTGCTGCAGCTCAAAGCCTGTTCCCGAACAGCAGTGAGAGGCAGGAGCAGTGCAATCGCAGTGGTCCCCTCCCCTGGGTCCTCAACCCAGGCTCTTGAAAGCAGCCAGCACCATTAGTGTGTAGACAATGCTGGGCCTGTATGTGTGTATGTGTAACTCACTGTGTCCCACCGTGTCTTCGTGTGACAAGGTCCGCTAGGGGCTGTTTGAGTCCGTATGGATGTGATTTGTGAGTTGATGACTCTGTATGGTCTTTGTGTCCTCGTGGTCGGGTCAGCCTTCATTTTTAGGCTGCAATTTCGTGGATGTCCAGGAAGCATGGTTCCAGGACTCTCAGGCGGGCAAATAAGTATGGAGTCTGGCGGGGATCCGGGATGGCTGGAGCTAGGCGTGTCTGCGCGGGAAGAACCGCCTCCTGGCCCCGCCCCACCCCGCCCCCGCCGCTCCCACTCTTGGCTGCAGGGTCTAGAAAACCTAATTGCCTCGCCCAGAATCCACGCCAGATGGGTCTCTTGCCTTCCGTTCCGCCTCTCGAGCCCGATCGTTGGAAGTAGTAAACAATTCTACGACCTCTAAAGTCCAGCCCGTCAGGAACGGACTCCACCTTCCTTAGTTCATGCTCCCCTCCAGGATTCACCCTCAAAAGCTCCTCGACAAGCAGGGCGCAGTGGCGCACGCTTGTAATCCCAACGTTCTGGTAAACTGAGGCGAGAGGATCGCAAAAGAGTTTCATGTGAGCAATTTCGTGAGATCCTGTCTAAAGAGCTAGGGATGTAGCTCAGGGGTAAGGCCCCATGAACCGCAATTTTGAGTTCTCCAGCGCTTCTGAGAACCACAGTCCACCGCCCATCTCTTAGTCCCGCCCCGGAGTTTCTAAACCGGGTCCTATCCCAGCGGGCTCGGAAGGCAAGGCCTCGACTGAAGTGTGCTTAAGCTCCAGGCCTGAGCTCTGAGCTAGGTGAATGTCCAGATCCAATCCCGAGGCCAGCCCACGAGCGCAGCCATGCTCTGGACTCCACCAAAGTCTTCTGCAGTCACAGCCTGGGATCCTTTAGCTTTACCCCATCGTAAATTCCTAGACCCTCCACCCGGCTCGTCCCCGCCCCCGCCCCGGGCCCCGCCCCCGCCCCCGCCCCGCCCCGCCTCCGCACTCACCCGCGTTGTAGAAACAATCCAGCGCGGTGGTGTCGCCCAGAGCCAGGGTCCCAAAGGGCAGGCTGCGCAGCTGTGGCGGCGGCCGAGGCCCCGAGAGCTGCGCGCAGGCCTCCCGCAGGCAGCGCAGGGGCAGTGGTTCCGTCTCAGTTCCCGACCCAGGTTCTACCTCAGGCCGCGGCTCCCGGGTGAGCACATAGACCACGCTGAGCGGCCGGCTCCGCGCGCAGTTCCGGCCGGGGGGCGCCGCTGTCGGCCGGCCCCGGCTCAGCGCCTCGGCCAGCGGGTCCTGCCAGCAGCTGCCTGCGCGCTCCAACGTGCGGGGCCCGGGGCACACCCCCGCCATGCGGGGGCGCTCGGGCACGGGGCGCCTGGAACCCAGGCCAGGGCAGGAGCCTGGCGCAGTGAATCCAGGGATTTCGGGAGTCGGAATCCAGTCGGCGTCCGAGATCTCCTACAGGGTCTGGGTGTCTAGAGATTGGCCGGACGTCCCGGTTTGGAAGTCTGGTGTCCAGGGAAAAATCAGCTCAGACTTGCAAGGTCCTTGAGGGTCTCGAATCTGGGACTGGGTTCTGGGAATCGAGTACCTGGCGATCCGCAACTCAGAGTCAGTGGGAGATCCCGGAAAAAGAGTTGGCAGTGTCTGCCACCCAGACTTCTCTGGGAAGCGCAGGCCGACACTCAGCCTGCCCTCACTTGTAGGTCCGGCCCAGCCCTTTCCCGACCCGGAAAGCTCCACCCTCGGCCCTAGGGCAGCGCCGCTGCTGGGGACTCGGCCTCTCCCCTCCCTCCTCTCCCGCCAGAACTTCTGACACTGGCCGCTTCCGGAACAGCCTGTGCCCCTGTTCACGCCAGCCACTGTGCACTGCTCACCACAGGCACTCGGAAGATGTGTGCCCAGGCCTGGGACAGGGAGCAAGCGGGACCTGCAGGCTCTGCCGGCAAGCTCTGCTAAGTGGGTGCACCTCAGCACGAGGTGCACAGACGCAGTGGTGCGGAGTGCGCTCCAGAAGCCCTGCGGCCCAGCTTCAGAGCTATTACCAGGAGGCTGCTTACCCCAGAACTCCGTGTGCTGTGGAGCCCTGCTGACCTTTGACTCTACCCAGAACCTGATGGTGGAGCCTGAGAAGCGAAGCACTTCCCACTGTAAACGTTTCTCTACCCACCCTTTGAAGGACCACCACAGCCAGAAATGGGCTACAACTACATCCCAACTTTAAAGCCCCAAAATTTTTTAGTGTGAATTAGTGACTGAGGCAACAAGCTGATTTAAACCTCAGTAGACCTTGCAATTAGGACCTGGAAGGTGGTTGAGTAACTTGTCTGGGATCAGTCAGCTATTTGACAGAGCAGGAGGCAAACACAGGACAGTCAGACTTTTAATTATTTGTTTCTGTCGCCATTTAGTATTGATGTGGATTTGGGCAAATGAATTGCTAAATAATTGCTAGCTTGGTGACTGTTGTTTCATTGCTCTGTTGCCTCACATAAGAAAAATGTACCTTCCTTCTTGGTTTGACCCCAAGTTCAAACCAGCTCCTCAGGGGATAAGCAAGAAGCAAGAAGCAGTAGGGGTGAGAACTTGGCTAGTGCCAGAGACTGAAGTGGAAAACAAAGAACTTACCAGGGACAAGCATGAGCAGCAGAGAGTGTGAAGAAGGTGTGCAATTCCTGTCACAAAAATGTCCATGTGGCCAAGTGTAAACTTGCACACCCGTAAGCCTATCACTCTGGAGACTGAGGCGGGAGGATTAGCACATGTTTGATGGAGCTACATAAGGAATTCAAGTCTAGCCTGAACTACATAGTGAGACCCTATCTCAAAACAAAACAACAAGGGCCTGAGTTCAATCCCCAGTTCCACAAAAACAAACAAACAAACAAAACTGTCCATTGGGCTGGAGAGATGGCTCAGTGGTCTAAAGCACCTACTTAGAACAAGCTTAGCAAAACATCAGGGACCGCAGTTCAATCCCCCAGCACCACATGCCAGCCAGCCCCGCCCCCTGGTGGGCTGAGCTGGCCACACACACACACACCACTCTCTCTCTCTCTCTCTCTCTCTCTCTCTCTCTCTCTCTCTCATAAATAAATAAATAAAAAAAATAAATAAATTTAAAAAAAAAAAACTGTCCATTGGCAGGACCCGGATGACCCAGGTGACTCTGGAACATCGTCAGTGGATGCTTGAGTCCCTTTGGCTTTTTCTTGCACACTTCAGGAGACAGAAGCGTTATTGCCTTAGAAGGGTGTCCTTTCCATTTTCCTGATTGGAAGGCAGTTGGGAGAGATATAGGAACTTATGTCCCTGCTCTGCCTTATAAGGTTTTGCCCAACAAGTGAAAGAGTCCCCAAGCTAGGAAAGGGTTAAAATTATTTATTTTTAGATGTGGACTGGGAAGCAGAGGCAGTTGGCTGTGGGGAGGTGGCTGAGGGTCCGGAAGCTGTACAGAAAAGATAAAGGCACTGTCTGTCAGGGTACCCTAGCGAAACATCATTCTAACCTTGCGGTAGGAGCGGCCCATGCCTCAGCCTGAGTTCCAGTCGATGGCATACTTGGGGACAGTGGCTTCAGAGGCCACATAGAGCCCATTGAGATTGGATTCATAGCAGGAACCGTACCACCAGGCAGCATGGCCGAACACCGCGCAGCTGCCCTCTCGTAGCGTGGTCAGCATCAAAAGTGCTAAAAGGCATCTTGTTGTGGGAGCTCAGGGAGTCCCCTGCAGGGAGAGGATGGGAGGAACCTTAGCACCCTAAACCATGCTTGGCATTTTTGGAGATTTTTACCTTGGAGATGTTATCAGTTCTCTTGAAACAAGAACAGCACCACTCAGCTAGTCAGTGGTGGGACTTGAACTCAGGGCTGTCTGACTCCCAAGCTGCCAGCTCTTTCCCCTGCCTTACCCTTCCAGAATCCCCTGCTTCCCTTCTAGTTCCTTCATCTCATCCTAGTCCTGGTCAGCAGCCTGAACAACTATGCCAGGAGGAAACTCTTGGGTGCCCCAACAGGAAAGAGGGCTCCCTGGAGGTCCCTCCCCATAACCACTTCCACCTTTCAGACCCACCCCCTCCCCAGTATTCACTGCTCTGAAAGATGCCTTCCCTGATTCCTCTCCCAGAGCAGAGACCTCTAATGCTCCACAGTGCCACAGGTAGCACCCACATTCCCATGTGGCCTTCCCACCAGTTTTGTAGAGGAAGAAACTGAGGTTCTAATGAGGATGGGACTTGCCCAAGGTTACATAGGTAGCAAGTGGCAACACTGGACTCAAACTCTATTCCCTCCTGTGACATTTTTTCCCAGGATTGCCATTTCTCAGATGTGGGAACTGAGGCCCACCGAAGGGAAGATATCGTCCTGTGTCATTCACAGAAGCAGCAGCAATGCTGGGGAAGAAGCCCCCGTCCCATGCAAACCTCTCCTCCAGGCCCCACGTTGGCAAGGCTCACTCACCAGTAGTGCCCTCTAAGAACTTGCCCAGTGCCAGCTGGTAGTGGTCTTTCTCCCCCGAGGAGATGGAAGGTCTCATAGTGGGCAAAGGTGTGGTTGTCAGTAAAATCTTCCAGCTCTACTCGAAGCTCTCAGGTACCTGGGAGGAAAGGGGAGGCTGGGATAGTGCCCTCTTCAGATCCCAGGATGGCAGTTAGGCCCCTCCACCTCACGGGGAACTCACCGTGCAGAGTGAGCTGGTGCAAATTCTCATTCCCTAGCCAGAACTCAGACTCTTGGCTCCCAAAACCTGCTTTGTAGGAAGACCACAAGCGGGAGAAATCCACAGAATCATCCTGTCACCTCTGGAACACCTGGGAAGCCACAGGGGACCAGCACCCCAGCTATGGCTCCAGCCACAGGGTGTGAACAGGAAAGCAAGGGAAGTGGCAGCTGAGGCAGTGAGGGTGGGCAGGGCACTTCTGTGCTTTGGCTGGGGCTCCTAGATGCATGCGAGTCTTCTAGCAAGCTGGGCCTGTACTGAGTCAGTTCCCTTATTAGCTAATGCTCCACCACACATGGAGACCTGGCCAGCTGGGGGGAGGGGAGGACAACTGAAATGACAACAGCACTGTCGCTGCCTTCGGAACACAGTCAGTCCCCAGGGGACTCAGACTCAAAATAACATGTTTGAATTTACTATGATAAAAACTAAAACGTTTGGCCAGGTGTGGTGGTGACACTTTTAATCCCAGCATTTGAGAGGGCTGAGGCAGGAATGCTGAAGGTTCAAGGTCAACCTGAGCTACATAATAAGATCCTATCTGAAAAAAATTTTTTTTTAACTATTTAAAGCAAAGTTGTTACTCCCAGGGTCCCAAACCTGGGCTTGAGTTTACCCTACTGTTCCCTCACCTTCCCTGTACAAGCCAGGCTGTCTTCCAACCTGCAGTTTCCCTCCTAAATATTTTTTTATTTTTTATTTTATTTATTTATTTACTTATTTATTTATTATGCAGAACTGGGGATTGAACTCAGAACCTCATGCTCGCCAGGCAGGCGCTGCACCGCTGAGCTGTATCCCCAGCCCAGGATTTAAAAAAATATTTAGGGGGCCGGGGAGATGGGTACTCCCCACAGAATATTTTTTTTTTTTAATTTTATTTATTTATTTATTTATTTGAGAGAGAGAGAGAGAGAGAGAGAGAGAGAGAGAGAGAGAGAGAGAGAGAGAGAGAGAGAGAGAGAGCAGCTCAGCCCACCAGGGGGCAGGGCTGGCTGGCATGTGGTGCTGGGGGATTGAACCGTGGTCCCTGATGCTTTTGCTAAGCTTGTTCTAAGTAGGTGCTTTAGACCACTGAGCCATCTCTCCAGCCCCCCCACAGAATATTTTTTAATCCACATATCACTAATTTTACTATTGTCACTTTCCACAGTCAGTACTGTACCAGTCATATTCCCACTGCAATTATGGGTCTGTGAATTCCTGTAAAGGGTGCTTCGTCCCTATGAGCTCTAGCTCCCCCTAGGGACTAAAGGAAGAAGTGGCCACTGGGTCTGGCCGGCTAACCGGCAACCCCCAACCCCCCCAGCCAGCCACCTCCTGCAGTGTCCATGTCACAAAAGACTGGGAGGACTCTGCCCTCTGGTAGACACAAGTGATACCAGCCACTGATGGTGGTGCCCCGGTTCAGCAACTCCCAACAGCTCCTGGGGCCTAAGGGGAGACACACAGGTGGGTGGGGTGGGAGGTAAGGTATTTGCCAAACCACTCCACCCAGACACTGGAACAAGTATGGGACTCTAGGCAGTCTTCTGACTCCCTTGGGCTCTTGAAGAGAAGTTCTAGGGCGGGCTGCAGGAAGGGGCAGGACTACATCTGGGGCCTTGCAACAGCGAGGCACTGCTTGATTCCAGGTTCCTGGTTCCTGCTGAGGCCTTCTCACCCTCCTGGCACCAGAACAGGTTCGCTGGCTCTCCTGTCCCAGGGAAGAACCAGGTGTTGGTTCCAAGGTCCGAGGACTCCTAGTGGGATAGGGGCTCAGGCCTTTCTACTACTCCCCACTCCTGCCTTCCACCCTCAGTGGGTAGGCAGCTATAGCCCACTGCTGAACAGCAGCCAAAGACATCCTACCTTCTAGTCTGGGAAAAGAGCAAGGAAAGGAAGGGAAGTCCCAGCCCTGCACACTCACCTGGCTTGCCCTTGGGACCCATCTTGCCCAGTGGCCCAGGTGGCGCTGAAATTGCAGAGGCAAAGATACTCTGAGTCTTGCCTTCTGCCCAGGATCAGAAAGAAACAAGGGACTTGGAGCCAGAAGGTTCCAGTCCCATTTTCTACCTTTTCCTGGCTCTGTGCTTGGAGGCAAAACACATATCATCTCTGAGCCTCATTTTCCTTCAGCACAGTGGGGATGATACCACCTACCTGGAAGGTCCCAGCGTGCTGGGCACATGTGGTGCCTGGCGCAGAGGAGGTGCCGCAGCCTGGACAGCAGCTGCTACATTTCCAGCCTCCCAGCTTACCCCCAAGGACTCTGCCACCACTCCAGCATCTCTCACCTTGAGGACTTGGAGCTCCCTTCTCCCCAGGACTTCCTGGGGTCCCAGGACAACTGGGCAGGAGGATAACTTTGCAGGCTTCCAGTTCCCTGGGTTCTGCAGGGAGACATAGGGCCTGTGGGCACAGGGTGGGCATGCTGTCCCAAAGCCTCTACAGTTTAGCCCACGTCCCACCTTCCCGCAGGCAGGATGCTTCCTGCAGATGGGTAAGGGTTCGCACTATTTTTATCCTACATGCATATATTTGCCTATAGAACCCAGACTGTCAAACTCTTATATTGCTCCACGAGGAGGGAAGGAGTTGAGAGGCGGGTTGATTGAGAGAGCATCCTCAGCCCCTACCTGGGCATCTGGGATGTTCCTGGGTCCTCAGACAAGCAGGCCCCCAAAATAGGAGGAACAAAGCCAGTGGGGTCCACAGTAGGCCCATCATGCTGGGCTCACTAGAGGGAGGATTCCAGCTTTTATAAGGAGCCAAGCTGAATGAGAACCTGGAGCAAAACTTCCTCTCACTGTCCCTGAGGGACACCCCACGCCGGCAGGAGCCACCAGGGGGTGGGACATTTCCTTCTGAGCCCCACAGAGAACAGGCATAGTCCCCAGCCTGTCCAGTCTGGCTTCCAGGCATCCAGCCATCTCTCCAGATCTCTGCATTCATATGGATGTTCCTGTTTATTTATTTATGATACTGGGAGTTAAACCCAGGGCCTCACACACGCTAGGTCAACACTCTGTCACTGAACTACATCTTCAGCTTTTTTTTTTTCATTTTATTTATTTATTTATTTGTGTGTGTGTGTGTGTGTGTGTGTGTGTGTGTGTGTGGCCAGCTCAGCCCACCAGGGGGCGGGGCTGGCTGGCATGTGGTGCTGGGGGATTGAACCATGGTCCCTGTGCTTTGCTAAGCTTGTTCTAAGTAGGTGCTTTAGACCACTGAGCCATCTCACCAGCCCCCCCCCCTTTTTTTAAAGACAGAATCATCTTGCTAATTCATCCAGGCTAGGCTGGAACCTGCAATCCTCCTGCCTCACCTTCCCAGAGTGCTGGGATTACAGGCATGTGCCACCACTCTCATCTTTAACCTTAGCTCATTTTGTGCCTTCCATTTGGAATTCTCTCTCTTTCATGTCCACCTGTCCATGAAGGCCCAGCCCTAAGGCTGTCTCTACTATCGTGGCTCCTCCTGGTCCTTGCCAACTCTATTACTAGTGCCTACTGCTTAGGGCACCTGCCTAGCAGGTCCCATGCCCTGGCACCATTAAAAAAAATATAGTGACCATTGCTACTATCTATGAGGCACTGCTGCACCCAAAGGTCATGCTGAGCGTGGGCTGTGCCTCACCTCTGATCCTTCATGGCCTTGCTCTTGGCTTAGGCATGTGCCTAGTACCAAGCAGAGGCTCAGGCGCTCAGCACGCTAAGTGCATGCAAGTATAGCTTGGTAGCGCAGCGTGTGCTTTTTGTATGCACAAGGTTCTGAGTTCCATGCCCACATCAAAATGTGTATAATGCCTGTATACTTATGTATTTTTTAAATTTATACATACACTTGTTTGGTTTTGAAACAGGGTCTCTCTATGTGATTCAGGCTGGCCTTGTGCTCACTATGTATTCCAGGCTGGCTTTGAATTTGGGACAATCTTCTGCTCTGCCTCCCAGGTGCTGGGGTAACAGGTGCAGGCCACCATGCTCAGTCTCAATCACTGAGCTGCTGCTGAGCTATCTGGCCAGGCTGGCTTTGAATTCGGGACAATTCTCTGCTCTGCCTCTCTCGAGTGCTGGGATTCCAGGTGTAGGCCACTATGCCTGGCACATACATATGTATGTTAAATGAATGAAGGAGAAAATCTGAAGCCTAGAGGTAGGATGTAACTTTTGCTGACTCTACCACTTAAGAAGCCCAAAGCCAGAGTTCTTACCCAAATCCCATGCTACCCACCAGGCAGCAGCTCCTTAGGAAAGTGACTTCACAACCCAGCTCAAGTCCCTGGGACTTGGGCTACAGCTGCTGCTGTAGGCCAGATGAGTGGGCAGCTCTACTGGGGACCTGGAGACAGCAGCCAGGGTCCAACTGGTAGGGTGAGACCTCGGCTGGAGCCAGGATCACAGGTGCTAGGGGAGGAGGGAGTGTGTGATCCTTCTTCACTCCAGAAACCCTTCCTGAGGGTCTGCCCTGTACCAGGCCAACTTCCAGTGGGGGCAGAGACAGATGATATAGAGAGAGGCATGCAGGGAAATGGAGCCTGAATTTGCCTAACAGGATGGGTCCCAGAATTTGTCCTTTCTTAAACCCCTGCACATGCACACCAGAGCCTGCAAACCAGCCTGTTCGACATGCTGCTTAGGAATGTGGTGTGTTGGTCAGTTATACTTGCCTAGTATGCAGGAACCCTGGTTTCATCCCTAACACCACACACACACACACACACACACACACACATACACACACACACACGACTGTGGAAATGACCCAGCCATTGACAGAATCCAGGCAAAATGATGACCATCAAGTCACAGGTGACTCTATTCTGTAATGACAACAGTGAAGTCACAGACCATGTGTAGCATGATCCCACTTTGTGTTGTAACAATGCTGTGTGTGTACATAGTAAATTCACAGAGAAAAGTCTGAAACATACTGTCAGCTGTTTTTCTTTATTTAACCCCAGTACCAACGATTGAACCCAGGGTCTTCACACTGAGCTCATTCTGGTCTTTTTGCTTGTTGCTTGTTTAAATATTTGCTAAGTCATTAAGCTGCCTGAGCTGGGCTCAGACTTGCAATCCCCTGGTCTCAGCCTCCCAGAATACTGGGATTGCAGGTGTAGACACTAGACCCTGCCCCCCTCTTTGAGACAGGGTCTTGCTCTGTAGTTCAGGCCGGCCCCGAAGTAGCAACCCTCCTGCTTCAGCTTCCTAAGTGTTGGGGTTACAGGTTCTTATATAAACTTGTGTGGTCCTTTTCTCTCCTCACAGGTATTTACAATTTTTTTGGTGGGGGGGGGGTGACATGGTCTTGCTATGCAGTCCAAGATGGCCTCAAATGCAGCAATCTACGCTGCCCCAGCCTCCCCAGTGCTGAGCTTAAGATCAACACAGGGGCCGGGGAGATAGCTCAGTAGAACAAGCGCTTGCCTGGCAAGCACAAGGGCCTGAGTTCAATCCCTCATTCTGGGGAGAAGAGAAAAGATCAACACAGTGAGTTACACAGTGAGTTCAAGGACAGCCGGATCTACATAGTGAGACCTGATCTCAAAAACAAAACAGAACAAAAACAAAAACAAAAAACAAAAAACAAAAAACAAAAAACAAAAACAAACAAACAAACAAAAAAAAAAACCAGCATGGCAGCACAGACCTGTCATCCAAGCATTCTGGGAAGCTGAGGCAGGAGGTTAGCAAGTTGGAGCTCACCCTGGGCAACTCAGCAAGATCTTGTCTCAAAATAAAAATAAAAAATGGGTCAGGGATGCAGTTCAGTGAAATCCCCAGTATCACAAAATATAAATACTTGGGGAAAAGAGGAAGTGAAGCAAGGCAGGATGGAAACAGGAAGGGGCTGGAGAGGTGCTGAAGGCGAGAGGATGGGAGGCAGAAGCCTAGGGAAGTGGGCAGGCGAGGCCTCTGTGACACCATGGAGCTGCCTGTCAACACCACGCAGGGTCCCTGAGCGACCTCCAGCTGCAGCCAGAGGGGTCTAGATGGAGGCCAGCAGCAGCGGCTTCACACAGGCTGCACAGCTGGAAGGGTGGCAGGTGGTTTGGAGTATAGCAAACAACACCTACATTTTCTGGAGCCCTCCTCACATCGTACTGAAAGGGGAACTCGGCCCCACTTTACAGATGAGGAAGGTGAGGCCCAAGTCTGTGAAATAACTTGCTGGGGTTGACCCAGAAGAGTCAGGTTCCCTCGGTTGACCTCTCAACCCTGACTCTTTTTTGCTACTTCTTGGCACAGCTGGGATTGAAGTGGCACAGAGAAGAGCCACCTCTGCACCTGGCTGCCAGTGAGCGCCCAACCACTGGGATGTTATTAGTCAGGTTGGCTTCTGTGCTCAGGGATAGAAGTGGACTTTCCAGGGAGGCCTAAGTGACCAAGGCCAGAAATGGGGTTTCTTCACCTTGGCACAGGGGCAGAGACAGAGCAGGGAACTAGGAAACCCTGAGATGCCACTAGAAAGGGGGTTTTGAGGTTGTGGCCACTCCAAAGCCAGGAAAGCTGTGTGACCTTGAGCATGTTGTGTACTTACCTTTCCAAGTCTGGGTCTCTGTGCCTCCCCAGAGAAGGACAGGGGCAGGGGTCAAAAGGAATTATGAAAATTTCTCAAACAGCAGCAGGCCTAGGCAGAATTCCTGGGAACACCAGCTGTCTCTTTACCCAGTTTACACACCCAGCCCAAGACACAGGACAGGAAGTGAAACACTGGAAACAGTCCTTTTATTTGGAGGGCAGAGTCTGGCTAGTTGGAAGAGGCGGCATAGACACCAGGCACCAGATCGGGTGCCCAGCAGAGCCAATGGACGAGCCATGATGTGGATGAGGGATGCACAGAGCTGCAGGTGCCAGGCCCAAGAGGAGGGGATGTCAGGCGTCAGGCGCTGAGCCTGCTCAGTGGCAGAAACCGAGGGCCGAAGTTGTTCCCACCCTAGTGCCCACAAGGTAGCCGGGAGGGTGGCCTCTGTAGCCTCCTTCCTCTCAGTGTGGAGACAAGGCTCAAGGATGTCAGATACTGTGGAGGCCCCCCAGAGGGGACACTTAAGGAGGTGACCCAATGTCAACCAGGGGAGGATCCCCATACCCCCAGAGAGCAGGTCAGCTGGAAGAACAAACATTTTCATGAACCTGCTCCCCTCACACGGCACACGGGCCCTGCACAACCACCCTTTCCAAGGAAGCCACACAGTGCACACAGCCAGGCTCCTGCTCATGGCCGCGATTGGCCGAAGACTCGCCTGGACCATTACCTATTGGTTCTCCTCCCTGCTGGCAGCATGAAGGGGCAAAAGACAGGGACTCAGCCGGGCTCCCAGACCCCAAGACTGTGCCCAGCCATCATCTGGCAGAAAGAGTCCCAACTGGAGGAGGAAAAGGGATGTGGCTCACACGGGGACACTGGAAGGAAGGCATTGTCCCAGGGAGTGGGAGCAAGCCGACAGGGCCCTGGCAGCCAGGTACTCACAATGTCTGGTAAGTGCTGTCCTTGGCCTTGAGGAAGCGCAGCACAAAGAAGGCCACTGCCTGTAGGCTCAGCACCAACACGACACCCCCAAAGAAGCTGGCACCATCGAAGCCAGGGCTATGGATTTCAGGAACTGTGGGGCTCCCTGTGGGGTGAGGCAGGGTGGAAATCATAGCAGGGTCCAGGATCTGAGCCCATATCTGGTACAGGACACGCTTAGGGCTCAGTCCTCACTATGGGGCTAGAATACCAGGTGCAGAAGGCCAGCTTAACCCTGCAGGCAGAGGGAAAGGGATAGGGCACGCCTAGCTGGGTCATGCTCCTGAGTTTCTCAGGGGCTTTATGCCACACCCTCTCTGGGCCTCTGGATCATATGGACCTAACACATGAGTGGGACCAAACAGCAACCAAGCTCCCCTCCAGCCTCTGTCTCTCACTAGCCCAGGGGCCAGGGAGATGGCTCAGTAGAATAAGTGCTTGCCTGGCAAGTGCAGGGGCCTGAGTTCAATCCCCAGTTCCGCAAAAAAAAAAAAAAAAAAAAAAAAAGAGATCACTAGCCCAAAAGGGTGAGCTTGGGTTGGCACTCAGCTGCCCAGAGCCCCCCGTCCACAGGATCTTTCAGTTGAGGGTGTCAGGGCCCAGTACTGATGCACATGATGAGTTCTGTCTTCGGGATTCCTAAAAGGAAGGAGTGGAGGGGAAAGGGGAGGCCCAGGCCTGATACCCTGTACAATGGGTAGGCAGAGGGTAGGCAATGGGCTACTTGGCTGAAGTCACCTCCCAGTAGGTAGGACAGAGGTGGACTCCTCCGGGCTTCCTGGAGCCTTTCCTCTTGTTTTCAGAGGATAGCAGGGTCTGGGTGGCTCCCAGCTGTGCCACATTACCTATCAACTCCCACCAGGGATTTGGTTTCAGGCCCAGGGCCAGTCACCCAGGACAGAGTAGGACTGTGGGTGGATGATCATTCTGGGATAGTGGACAGGAGCCCAGATGGGGGCAGGAACCACTTCCCAGAGGGTGTAGAGGGGTTTAAGAATATGAGGGGCAAAGTGTGGCCCCAGCTGCAGCAGAGGGAGCCCCACAGAAGGACACTGGAGAGGAGGAACAGAAAAGGAAGAAATGAACCACGCTGCAGATCTGGGGCTACAGCTGAGGCAACCATCAATAATTCAGTCTCTGAGATCAGTTTCTGGTTTTAATTAACCAAAAGCCTCTTCAGCCATCCTAGCCAAGTCTGGTGACCTAAGGGCCCTGAGGGGCAGTGGGAACAAAAGGAAAGGGTCGGCCCATGCCCTGCTCAGCTAGGAATTTGGCTGGTACCCCTGAACCTACAGGTTGCAGCAGGTGGTCACTGAGGGCATTTCTAGCAGCCAAGAGCCACAGATCCTCAGCTCTGGAGACATCACCCTGGCTTCCCACAACAGGAAACAGACAGAAGGGACGGGAACCACCATTTCTTGGTTGCCTTCAATGCACTAGACACAGAATTGGGTCTTACACAGCAGGTGGGGAAAAAGTGGGCTTGGAAGTGGGAAAGGGTGGCACACAACCCAGGTACCAGACTGGATACCCAGAAACAGCTCATTTAAAAAAATAGGATTTTCAGGGAATAAAAAATCAAATCATCAGAAAAAAAAATCAAATCATCAGGATAGTAGGAATTATCCAAGCCATTTTACAGATGTGGAAGCACATGAAGCGGAAATCAGAGAGCTGGGGCCACTGAACACACCAGCACCTGAGCTCACTCTGTTCCCTACACCATGCCCTCAGGGAGTACCTACCTGTTGTGACTGTCACCGGTTCATAGGTGGGGTGATGGTGGGCAGCTGAGGAGACAGAATCCACAATAAAACAGTCCTCCCAAGCCCCAGCTTCCATCAAGACCACAGCCCCAGCCAGCAGCTGCACTGGAATTTTGATTTGGCCCTGGCCTAGCTCCAGACATCCCACATACTTTGAAGCCTCCCCCAGATGTGCCCTATCTCCCTCTCTCCCTATGAGGGAGGCTCATTTCAGATGCTACCTGCTCCAGGAAACCCCACACCCGTCCCTTCTGAACTTTCAAAACCCTTGTCATGCCTTCTGTCAGAACCTCTAATGCTCCCTGCTCCTCTGCACCCCTGGACCAATTTACAGATGAGGAAATAGACCAGAGTAGGGAAGGTACTATTCCACAAGCTAAAGGCAGAACTGAAATTGGGCCCAGATGTTTGTGGGCACAGTTCACTCCGAAGAGACTTGGAGAGACCTCAGCCCCCACCCTCCGATTTGGTGATTTGGCTTGTGCCCATGGGAACTTCCTTACCAGGACAGGACTCTGAGCGGTTATAAACAGAGCAACCCTCCTTGGCTACCTCAGCACGGGTCACACAGTGTCCTGGTGGGAGAAGTTACAGGGGTGTTCTGAGGAGAAGGTCAAGGCCTGGGGTCCAGAGCTGGGAGCCCCAGGCTTGGGGGGCCAAACTCCATACCTGGCTCCTCTGGTTGACACTGCTGCCACACACAGCCTGAGTGGTTGTGTCCTCTGTCCCCTTCCACACATCGCTCACAGAGCTCCAGTTGTTTGCAGCTGCCTTGGACAGCCGGCCAGATGTTCAGGCGGATCAAGGCTCCTCGTCCAAAGCCACGAGCTCCTTTACCTGGGAGTGGGATGAGAAGGCTAGAAGAGGGCTCCTATCCCTCCGCTACACGCTTGGAGCCCAGGACCCCTCACTTAGCCTCTCCCACATTCCTTGACTCTCCCTTTGAATACACCTGGGGTTCCCAGGTACACCTGGAGCCCCTGCCTCCAGACACACCTGAAAGCTCCCTAATCCTCTACACCTAGAACATATACGCATGCATGCACACACACATGGAGACTCCTGGTGCTCCCTGGAGCCCTGTCCCAGTCTGAAATGTCCCCCTTCCTGCAAGCCTAGACCGTTCCAGCGGTCCCTGCCTGGCTCCTTCCATGCATTACCAGCCGCTGCGAGCTGGGCACACAAGAGAAGGCAGCAGCAGCCTCCACAGAGCGCAGCCCGCAAGGCGTGGGGTCTTGGCGCGGCCATGGGCGCAGGGCGAGGGCTGGGGGCCGACGGACAGCTAGCTGATGTGCTGCGTTCCTTTTTGGACTCGCTAGAAGGAGCTGGTGTGGGAGCGAGACCAGGGCAATTGGGGCGTGACCAGCCTGGGGAGTGGCCAATGGGAAAGCCTGGTGGGGCTGGGCTCTTTGGCAGGGTGGAGCCAACATGGGCGTGGCCTGTCAAAGGTGTGGGGGCGTTCCGCTATCTGGGCGGGGCTTGAACAAAGGGGCGGGTCCAGAGTTGCAGTTGGCTCACCGGCTGCCTCCACCCACAACTTTTGAAAACCCAGAGTAGTGGCTGTTTCCATCTCTGCTCTACAGGTGAGGAAACCGAGGCTTAGAAAAGGTGAGTGCCTAGCCTAAGGTCACTGGTAAAAATCTGTATTTGAAGTAAGATCACTTTCTTGCCTTCAGGGTTTGGCTCAGGACCGGATTTGTAAGGGTATTTCCCAGGTGATCCTGTGAAGGCTGCAACGGGCCTCAGCTGCCTCTCCCCTCTGGTCGTCCCGCGCCCCCCTCGGCGTTTTCCCTGCTTTCAGCCCTCAGATCCCTCTCCTTTCTGCCGTTCAGCCCACCACCTCCTCTGGGTCACACTCCTGCTAGGTCAGGTGGGCTTTTCCGTAGCCTTCCCCACGGTCACCTCTCCTGCCTTGCACCACTTTACCTTGGTTCTTCTCCTCTCAGCCATTTTGTCAACTTCCTTAGGGGAAGTTGGGGGAACCTTTTTCTTCTCTACTCCTTCTTCTTCCTCCAGCACCCCCTTTATCTTATTTATTTATTTATTTATTTTTGGCAGAACTGGGGATTGAACTCAGGTTCTTGCCCTTGCCAGAGAAGGGCTTATTCTACTGAGCCATCTCCCTGGCCCCAGCTCCCCCCTCCACCCCTTTAAATGTATTTGGTACAAGGTCTCACTACATAGTTCAGATTGTGAGTGATCCTCCAATTTTCAGCCTCTCCAGCACTGGGATTACAGTGTGCACCTACACTCCCGGTCTTGCTGGCTGGCTCAGCATGCCCAGGGACAGGGCTGGCACGGCATGTGGCGTCGGGGATTGAACCCTGGTTCCTGCACTTGCCTAGGGAGATGCTTAGTATGCTGAGGTATCTCTCCAGCCCTCCTCTGGCCACCTCTTAACTGACAGTGGTTCAGTTTAGTTCTGGCCCTGGCCCACACACTTCCTAGGAAGACATCTTGGGCATTTTTCTGCCACCAGTCCCCATTTAAAAGCCAGCAAGAGCAGGAAGCTGTGGCACATACCTGTAACCCTCAACTGAGGGAGGCTGAGGCAGGAGATTGAAAATTTTAAGTCCTGTCCCAAAATAAAGGGCTCTGGGTAGCTCAGGGGTAGGGCATCCCTGGATCCATCCCACAGTTAAAATTTTAAAAAATCCACCATCTACATCCCCCAGTCTAGTTCAGCTTCCCAGCTATCACATCTATACCTAATAACACGTGACTAATAATCACTGGCCCCTTATTACTAAATGAATATACATTCTACTAAAAGCTTTTATTTGGCAGCTTCTAGTCCACTGCCCACAACTACCCTGAGCATGTATTGTGTCATTCCCAATTTTCAGGCTGTTCAGGGGCACAGTTCTGCCCTCTGCGGTCCCTCCCATGCATCCTTGCTCCTTGGGCACCTCCACTTGAGTGCTACAGATCTCTGCAGCACCTGGACACTTTTCCCCACCCAGGGAAGCCCTGTTATTGGCCCCATCACTCAGGCTGGGAACCATAGCACTACCACCACCTATAGCATCTCAGCCCTCAGATTCATGTCCTGCCCAGCCTCCTGCGCCCTCAGCACTCATTGTCCTCCTCCTCCTAGGCAGGCCCAGCTCACTGCCTCACTCCCCAGGTTCCTCCCCAAGCTGGGTCTCACAGCACAAGAGCTTCTGAAACCATGCATTTAACCATGTCTCTTCCAGCTAACAATTTTTAAACAATGACTTGGCCTCCATAACCTTTTGAATTTTGTCTCTTGAAGTCTCCTTGACCTTTCTTGGGTGCTTCCCATCATCTTCCTTCTGCAGCCTGTGCTGCTTGCCTTCATCCTAGCTCTTTGATCCTGGGAGCTGCTTGCATCCCTGACTCCATCTGCCTGGTCAAATGATGGGTCAAGTCATTCCAAGAATGAGCTTGGAAAAAATAAGTCAGACCACACCTGTTACCTGCCTAAACCCTTCAACATCTTCTGTCTCACAGCTTTTTCCAGCCAAAGGAATCTGCCTCCACTTCGCTGGGCTCAACTTTCTCACCTGTACAATAAAGGCTCCTTTACTCATTTAGCCTCCTCTCTGCTCCTTGAAATTCTTCTGTTCTCTTAAATGACTCCATGACACTCCTTAGCTGAAAAAAAGATCTCCTGGTTATTCTACATCACAGTGCCTGCTCTTCTTTTGAATCACGTGGCAAATGTATAACTAGTGACCTGCTTGTTTTCTGGGCTTCAAGCTCCAGGAAGCTAGGAACCATGTATATATCTCCTTCCCTAGTGAACTCCCCACCCATGGTACAGGCCAAGTAAGTGTTTATTAGTAGTCATATTGCATAATGTCATGACAGTTTGTGTACACATTTGTCTGAGTCTGCGGGCTTGGAGGCCCTCAAGGGCTCCCTACTTGAGATCATATGAAGCATCTCTGTGTAGATTGCCCATCTCTTTCCACATTAAAGTGGAAACTCCCTGAAGACAGCAGGGATTTCTCTGTCCTCTGTGCCAGGCAAATAGTAGATGCTCAATAAATATTTCCTGAATGCTGGAAACACAGAAATAAGACCAGATCATCTCTGTCTCTAGCACCTCCCAAAAACCAAGGCCAGGTAATTGTCAGTAAATATTGGTTAAATGAATCAGTCTGCTAAGGATGCATGCCATGACAATGCCCAGAACTCCCTGGTGTTGGATGAGTGTGGGAATTATCTGTGTCTCACATACTGATGCACCCACACCTGCCCCTCACTCCCTGTGGAGTTCAGGCCTGAATACAAAAGGGAAGCAATCTCACCTTGAGGCGAAGGCTCACAGCCATCTTGTGGCCACCTGGGGAACTGCGGGTATTGTCAAACTAAACACCTGACCATTCTGAGTAGAGAGCACATCTAGGCTAGAATGGAAGGCCTCCTGCACTTGGTTGAACATAGACTTGCCTGGCTTCAGATCCCAGCTCTGCTACTTACTGTGTGGTTTGTAATAAGTCCCTTGGCTTTTTGAGGTTTTACCTATGAAAATGTCACTTAACTTTGTAGGATTGTCAAAAGCACCGGGCTGTAATCTAGCATGGGTAGTTAGGGTATATGAGGGAGTGCACATGAAAATCTATGATCTCGGGGCTGGGGAGATGGCTCAGTAGGATAAGCGCTTGACTGGCAAACACAAGGATCTGAGTTCAATCCCCAGTTCCAGAAAAAAAAAAAAAAAAAAGAAAATCTATGATCTCAGGGCCGGGGAAAATGGCTCAGTGGAATAAGCACTTTCCTAGCAAGCTCAAAGGCCTGAGTTCAATCCCCAGTTCCACCAAAAAAAAAAAAAAAAAAGAAAAAAGAAAATCTATGATCTCATTCATTCGGTCTCTTGGAGCACTCTCTGTCTCTGTCTGTCTGTCGGTCTGTCTGTCTGTCTCTCTCTGTCTCTGTCTGTCTGTCTCTCTCTGTCTCTCTGTCTCAGTATGTCTGTCTCTGTCTGTCTGTCTCTCTGTCTCAGTATGTCTGTCTCTGTCTGTCTATCTCTCTCTGTCTCTGTATGTCTGTCTCTGTCTCTCTGTCTCTCTGTCTCTGTCTCTCTGTCTCTGTCTGTCTGTGTCTGTGTCTCTGTCTCTGACAGGGTCTTGCTATGTAGCCCAGGCTGGCCTGGAACTCCCAGCAACCCTCCTTTCTCAGTTTCCTGAATGCTGGGATCACCACACCCAGCTTTATTCCTATTTTATAGATGGTAAAACAGACACAGTCTGCAAAACTCCCAAAGTCACCCATCTAGGGAAAGGAGGAGTTGGAATTTGAATCTAGTCTGCTCCTGGCTAGCATCCCAACCCAAAATGCATCATCTTTCCCAGTGCCAGCCTTCCCTTCCCATGTTCCCTGCTTCTTGGCCTTCCTCTGCCCACATCTGAGCCCCCAACCTGCCCAGTGGACCCTGACTGTAGGAGCTGTAGTGATGCTGGTATGGGGCGAGGAGTCACAGGTTTCTTCAAACCTTCACTCAACTCCTCCTCACCCCCAGTCTGGGACGACTCCAGATGGATCAAAGCTGGAGCCCCATGGAGGAGGGGCAGTCACCCCTGCTCCCAAGACACATCTGGCGGAATCTGCCCGGGTAGGTTCCTGGTTTTAAGAACAGGCAGGGTTAGGGCAGGGGGAGGAGCTTTCTCCCTGACCCACCCCACCTGGATGCTTAAGAGTTGAGGCTGGGGGAGGGGGAACCTGTCCCAGGACTGAGCTGCTGGGCTTTCCGATTCCAAGTTCTTCCCGTCTCTTTGGCTGCCGCTGCTTCGGGGAAGTGGCCCCCACCCTACCCCGCTGGCCTTCCAGATCCTTGAATAAATAATTCAGGTCTGAGATCTTGCCAGGCCTTCTCCCGTGCGGTGCGAGCGCCATTGGACTGGCTCAGTGACGTCACCCAGCTCCTCATCCTGCTCCAGTATCACGGGACCTGTCCTGGCAGTAGATCACCTGCCTGGTCACTGTCTGTCAGGCCTTCTGCAAGTTCTCTCACCCCAGGGTCATTTACCAGTACCAACCAACAGCTTCAATCCAGGGCCCTACAATCTTCATGAACTGTGTCACTTCATTACCTCAGCACTCGTGAGGGTCTTGTTGACCCAAAGTCCCTTCACCCTTGCCACTTTCTTCCTCCCCCTTGGAACCTGAGCTCCCTCACTCTGCAGAGTCACCCAGACGCTGCCATGGTTGCCCTAGGAGTGTCACCCTCCTGTACTGTCAGTGTCCCACGCCTGCCATCCCCCAAGATCCTGTCACCATGCTCCCTCGTCACTGCCACCCACCTCCCTGCTCCCTTGTGCTCCAGTCCCCGTCACCTCAGAGCCCATCATCAGCAACTCCGTCATCCTCACCGGAGACGCCCATTCAGCCCCATCATTCGATCTCCATCTCCTGGATTCCTGCCATCCGAGGGTCCCATCACCTCCACAGCCTATTCCAGTCCCCCTGCAGCTCCCCCAACTACATTTCCTATGGGCTCCCTGAGACTTTTCCAAGATTCTCCCACTAGAGCCCCGGGAAGCCCTGGCCCGCAGAGGGCGTCAGGTCAAGGGCAGCACTGGCTGAGTTGGGAGGGGGCGGGGCCAAGGCCAGGGACGCTTTTTATGAATGGGGGAGCGGGCGGTGCGAGGCCTCATTACTATGCTGCGCATCGCTTGATGCGCTCCAGCGCGCTGCGCCCATTGGCCAACCGGGCCTCAGACGTCACCGAACCGGTGGCCGGGGGCGGGGCGGGGAGGGGTGACTCACGCCCGCTTCTTTCGAGGCCGCGGGGGCTTCTCGGGGTCCGCGCACACCTTGCGCTGCCAGGACCCGAGTGGAGCTTCCCCGCGGCCCAGCCACGCCCGGTCCTGAGCGGTGAGTAGAGGCCCTTGCCACGGGCTCCAGGTGTCTGCGAGGACACACAGAGGGATGCTGGGGAACTAGGCAAGTGGAAAACTCCTTGAGGATGATCGGGGTCGTAGGTTGAGGCTGGGATTCTGGGTTAGCAGCTTCTGGGTTAGCAAGTGTGTCCGAAGTGTTTGGGTGCTGGAGCCGTGAGTTGGGTGACCTGGCGAAGGGTGAGCAGTCCTGTAGGGATCCGAGGCCCTGGGTGGAAGGGCGGTCATCTGAGGTTATACTGACAGGAGGCGGCTAGGTCAGGAAGCCAGGTGTCCGAGAAGCGGGAGGTGTCTTCTATAGGGATTCTGATGTGCAGGCAGGAGGCGGAGTCAGGCCCTAGATCCAGGTGTCCCGGCAGAAGGAGGACTCTGACTCAGAGATCCAGGCTTCCAGCAGGGGGTGGGACAGAAAGAGGGGACCACTATGCACAGAAATCCTGGAGGCTGAGTGAGGGACCCCAGACATTACCCCAGGAATGTTGGCTGGGGGCTGGCAAGTGCTTCATGAGCTTTCCCTGGGGGCGGAGCCTGCTGGCAGCCGCCGAGAATCGTGAGGGGTCGGGGAGCTTCAGACACCGAGTCATCCTCTCTAGTGGGAGGGAGTGGAGTTGCTCTCAGTCTCTGGATGTTCCCTCCCCCACTCGTGAGTCTTTCTTGGCATCGCCTGGATCCCGTGGTCCCCAGCTTACTTGGGGCAGCTCTTTATCTGGTTCTCCCTGATCACACACGTGGGAAAAAGAAGCCTGTGGAACCCAGAGGAGTGAAGGCAGTGTAAAGAGATCCAGGATGGGGATCCCTGGGGAATGAATTCCCATCCAGAGGCCTGGAAGCATAGAACAGGAACCAAAGTACCCCCAAAAGAGCTCAGGCATCAACTGGGGGGAAAGTGGCATGGGGATTCTAGCTATCTGAGGGCACCTTTCCTTCTCCAGATGCCTCCTGTCGGCACCCAGTCCCGCCAGCATCTCACAGGGCCTTTCTCTGCAGGTACCATGGTGTGGGGTGCAGGCAGACCCCTGGCCTGGCTCTCCTCTGGTCCAGGGAATGTGAATTTGAGCAGCGTGGGCCCAGCAGAGGAGCCTACAGGATCAGCGACATCATCACTGCCCTCACCCAGGGCCTGGGATGTGGTGCTGTGCATCTCAGGCACCCTGGTGTCCTGCGAGAACGCACTGGTGGTGGCTATCATCGTCGGCACTCCTGCCTTCCGCGCTCCCATGTTCCTGCTGGTGGGCAGCTTGGCTGTGGCAGACCTGCTGGCAGGCCTGGGCCTGGTCCTACACTTTGCTGCTGTCTTCTGCGTTGGCTCAGTGGAGATGAGTCTGGTGCTGGTTGGCGTGCTAGTGATGGCCTTTACCGCCAGCATCGGCAGCCTGCTGGCCATCACTGTTGACCGCTACCTTTCCCTGTACAATGCCCTCACCTACTACTCAGAGACAACAGTGACTCGGACCTATGTGATGCTGGCTCTAGTGTGGGGGGGTGCCCTGGGCCTGGGGCTGCTGCCTGTGCTGGCCTGGAACTGCCTGGATGGCCTGACTACATGCGGTGTGGTCCCTCCACTCTCCAAGAACCATCTGGTGGTCCTGGCTGTTGCCTTCTTCATGGTGTTTGGCATCATGCTGCAGCTCTATGCCCAAATCTGCCGCATCGTCTGCCGCCATGCCCAGCAGATTGCTCTCCAACGGCACCTGCTACCTGCCTCCCATTATGTGGCCACCCGCAAGGGCATTGCCACACTGGCCGTGGTGCTTGGCGCCTTTGCTGCCTGCTGGTTGCCCTTCACCGTCTATTGCCTGCTGGGCGATGCCCAGTCCCCACGCCTCTACACCTATCTCACCCTGCTCCCCGCCACCTACAACTCCATGATCAACCCCATCATCTACGCCTTCCGCAACCAGGATGTGCAGAAGGTGCTGTGGGCCATTTGCTGCTGCTGTTCCTCTTCCAAGATCCCTTTCCGATCTCGCTCCCCCAGTGACGTCTAGTTACCTCCTGGTGACCATGCAGCCCTATCACTACAGAATTCCAGAATGTTAGATCCTCCAGGTCTTTGTTTCAAATCCCCAGCTCCAACGCCCCCAAGACCCAGCTGGTTCTGGAGTTCTAGGACATTGGGTGTTTCAGGATTCTGTTCAAGGTCCCTGTAGGAGCCCAGTTAGCTCTGTGGTTCTAGAATGTTCCAGGTGGTCAGGGTTCTACTCAGAAATGTCCCACTGGCCAGCTGGCTTGCAGTTCCAGAATACTGGGATTTTTACAGTGCCATTCCAAATCCTTGACCTTTTACCTTCCTCAGACTTGACCTTGGCCATGTCACTTTATTTTCAAATTTCTGAGCTCAAGAGTCCAAGAAGTTAGTCACTTAGTTGCCTAGATTGAAAGATTTATCTATCTATCTATATATATATATGTGCACATACAAAGAAAATATATTTATTATTTATTTATTATAAATTTATTTATGGGGGGGAGAGACCCACGCCTTGAGTTCTAGGCCATATCAGGGTATCCCGCATCCCCAACACCCTCATTTCTGACCTCAGTTCCTGGAGGGGAGAAATGGAGAAACAGAAATCACGTATTTTGTTATTATTTTTGGTTATTTTTTAATCAAAGAGATCATAGAAACCAGAGCCTTCTCCGCAGGCCCACCCCGCTTGGGTTTGCAGGGGAAACACACCAGCCTCTGGTTTTTTATTTTTTTAAGAAGCCATCACCTGAGCAACCGAGAATTCCTCTGCGCTGGGGCCGGCTGTCCTCTGGTGGCCATTTGGGTGAACTGCATCCTGGCCTGGCCCCCAGGACTAAGAAAAGAAACCCCAACTCCACTCCAGCCTGGTGTCCAGCGCCACAGCCATGGCCTGGGGAGCCAGGCCTCACCTTGAGGTGCCCTAGAGGAGGCGGGGCAAGAGCCAATACCCCACCCCTCTGCCAGCCGGGGTATGTCCCCCAGTGCATTCCCTGTTCTTGTCCCCAGTTCAACTCAATAAAAAATGATTTTGTGATAAATGTTCTCATGTGTTTGTGTGTGCGTCTGTGCAGAGTGGGCTGGTGGGGAAAAGTCCGGGATGAGGTCAGGCCAGAATAAGGGGAGCTGAGGGGGATCTGCAGAGCTGGGGACCCAGGGTACAGTGGGGCTAACCCTCCCACCCTGAGATGTCAGCATCGCTCTGGTCAGACCTTGGTATCACCTGACACAGATCCCAACATCCCCTAGGGAGAAGAACCGGGGTGCTGGTCTCTTCTACCCAGATTGGCCAATTTGGGGCTTTGGCCTGAAGATTTGCTAACAGCACATCAGTTCCCTTCATAGCAATAATAACCCCTTCCTCCCTTCTAATGTGGGTGCTGACGATGGGCTAGACACTGGGCTAAGGGTACTTCATGTGTCGCCTCCCTGTGTTACCAAGCATCCTGGCTCATTCAGTATCATCGCTACTTCACAGATGAGGAAACTGAGGCTGAAAAAGGATTACTGATTGGCATAAAATTATATAGCCAGGAAATGAGTCAGGATCCAAGCCAGGAACATCTATTTCCAGAATTTGTGTTCTCTGTCCTGGGCAATGAATGATCTTTCCTTTTCCTTCTTTCCCAGTCCTAGGGCTTAGGACATTCTACTCCTGATTTCTATCCCAGGGCCAATGGCCCACGTTTGAGAGGTAGTTAGACGGGGGCTGGTCATTGTAGAAAAGCTTATTTCCCACACAGAGGTGAGTGGCTGTAACAGTGTACATTTGGGGACCTGAGTTTGGTTTCTGGGAGGGTAGGAAGCCCCCAGAAGTTCATGTTTACCGGGCAAGGGCAGGGCATGTGTGGGGGTGTGGCTTAGGAGGGAGCCCTGATTAGCCCCGCCCCCAGCAGGCTTTACATGTGGGCTCCCCGACCCAGAGGAATCCTTGGAGCATTTCCAACCCCACCCAGCCCCCATGGTCACACAGGCAGGGACACTGAGGCCCAAAGAGGAGCAGCTATTTTCTCAAGCTCTCTCGCCTGTGCCAGGGGAGGCCCCCATGACAAGCTGAGCTTTGCCCTTCTTGCCCACTTTCACTAGGAAGAGCCTCTCTGCTCCAAAGCTCCTCCTTCAGGCCAGGCTTCATGCAAAGCATTTCACCCATCACCACAGACTGGTCAGGCACGTGCTATCACCTCGTTTTTTGTTTTTTTTTTTTTAAATTTATTTGTGTGTGTGTGTGTGTGGCCAGCTCAGCCCACCAGGGGGCGGGGCTGGCTGGCATGTGGTGCTGGGGGATTGAACCTCGGTCCCTGTGCTTTGCTAAGCTTGTTCTAAGTAGGTGCTTTAGACCACTGAGCCATCTCACCAGCCCTATCACCTCGTTTTTGAAGGAAGCAGTCAAGGCTCTGAGAAAAATGGGCCTTCATCCATTCACTGATGCCCTTCTGGAAAGCTTAATGTATAGCAGGAGGAAACAGCAAAGAAGCAGAAAAGTTTTCCAAAAAGTGTAATGTTGATGGTATGTCCTCAGAGAAAAACAAAGGGAAGAATAGAAGAATTTTTTTTTCGGTACTAGGGATCAAACTCTGGACCTTGCACTTGTCAGGCAGGCGAAGATGAATAATTTTTAAATGCAGGTACTTGAAACACCTCCCTGAAGGGTGAAATTTTCTACCCAAAGTCATATTTTCAGGAATTGAGCTGGTGTTGGGCATGGTGGCACACACCTGTGATCCCAGTGCTCAGGAGGCTGAGGCAGGAGGATCGCTGTGAGTTTGAGGCCAGCCTGGGCTACAAAGTGAGTTCAAGACCAGCTTGAAAGGGATTGGGAGATAGCTCAGTAGAATAAGTGCCCTGGCAAACACAAGGGGCTGAGTTCAATCCCTGGTCCTGGGGTAAAAAAAAAAAAAAAAAAAAAAGTTGAGCTGTATTTGAACCCAAGGCATCTGACTCCAAATCTGTGTCTTTGCTGACTAAGGCAGTGGGTTCTAGCAATGGCTCAGAAACTTCTCCCCATGCCTGTGCATAGTCTGGGGAGAAGCTGGGGTTCTCCAGGTTATACCCAGGCCTTTGAAGGGGTGACCCAGGGAAGTCTCCCTGCTGCCCTCTTAT